TAACTGAAACAAAGAGGGCAGCAGTGACTTGCCCAGGCTCCCTGAGCAGGCTAATGGTGAAGCTGGAACTAGAACCTCAGTTCCTGAAGTCCCAGTCCAGGGCTCTTTCCAGTACTCTAACATAGTACTTAGTGAATATATATTTCCTGCTCCCCAAAGGTGCCATTCTAAATATTCAAGCAGAAATTGGATTTCTGATTTTTTGCTTTATTGAGGAGAAGTAAATAGGGTTTGTTTGTTCTTTTTTAAAGCAGTAAAGTGCCATGTCATGTCCTTACATGTAGGACAAATGAGTGGGAGAGTGTTTGGTGAATATTAGCCAGGCTACTTTGCCAGATATCAGGAGTACTTAAAGAAATGAATGTAGTTTATGGGAAAACAAAATAGATGTACGGTGTAAGCAAACTCCGGGGCACTGGGCAGAGATGTAAGCAGAACCAAATGGAAGGAGTGTTTTAAATGAGTGAGCTGACTCTGGATGGAGGACGGAGCCGATCCATTAATTTCTGAAGGTAGCCAAAAATAACAAGCTGGATAATCATGAGCCCTTAAGTGCTACACTTTATTTCTCAAATTATAGTATTCTGCTAATTTGAGATTCAGAAAGTCTCTGAGGCCCACAATGACAGGGTGTCTAAGGACACAGGAAAAGGACTCACATGTGAGTGAAAGGAACTTTAATTTAAAGAAATAGCTTAGAAATGTGCATTTTATTACTGACTACTTAACCAATGCACTGTTCAGAAAGCATCTCTTCATCTTGGATCCACTTTGAACACTGACGTGTTGAATATTGTTAGAGAAGGTTTGTTTTCCTTTTCTATATTCAACCATTTGTGATGGATGGAATATATGGCGGTGAGAGATTCCAATGAAATCCAGCTAAAGTACAACAGACTGCCTGACATTCATGGAGGAATGACTAAAGAAAAGATTAAATAAAACGTTCAAACTAAAACCATGAATTCATCCTTTCCCAGGCAGTGCATAACCATGCCTGGAAAAGTAATAGCTGCTTTTTGGATGGTTTATTTAAAAAGCAAAAAGAAAATGAAAATGAAATCACCCCATGAAACACCAACTCTTCTGACTTTATAAGCTACTAGCAATGGTAGATGGTAGTTACAAATAAATTACCTCTGGTAATGAAGCAGTTACCTGCTATTGCACGTGTGCAAAGCTGAATGTAATCTGACATGGAACATTGTTTCCTCAACTATGGGTATATATATTTAACTGAGATATAATATGTGTTTTCTCTAAGCATGGTTCTCTAAAAAGTTCCTTATTTAAGAAATTGTATCTTTACAAACTAGCATAATGTATTTTGGATATTACCATCTCCTTTCTCTGCATATAAACTTCTGTAGTGGATCATCAATTACTCTACTCACTTTCCACTCCCAAGTGCCTCTTTTCTTTCCTGGCTGCCTGCTTGGAAAGGATGGAGAGATCAAGCTGGACACAATTATTTCATTCATTCTTGACATTTGTCAGATGTTTGAACTGACCTCCTTTATCAAGTTCACCACCACAGACATTAATAGCATTCTTTTAGAATTAACTTTTAGTTTCCAATATTTGTATGTCAGCAGGGTTACAAGAGGTGTATAATGTAGCAGCTCCCAAGGTATCCCAAATACCTTTCCTGTTACATAACTCTGGAACTAAAATTGCTTATTTGATTTAGAGGCACAAATAGCTAGGATTACAAGAATCACTCACATTTATCTGGGGCTGGCTAGAAGACTATGCTGTCACCTATCAGACACAGACCTGAGATGCCTGTCCATACATACGTGACCTTTAGGCTAGATTATTACACCTCATTAAATCTCAAAATTTAGCAACAGGCTCCAAAAAAACTCCCTTTGGTACAGAATGCAGCTGTCAGGTTGCTAGGCAGCCCAGGTTGCTATGAACGCATCCTCCTGGTGCTTACATTCTGTACTCATTTCCCATTGTTACAGAGTCCGGTTCAAGGTCTTTGTTCTAATTTTCCAAGGTCTTTGTGGAATTAGCTTTTCATGTAACTAGAGCTATCACTTCTTCTATGGCCATGGCTTCCTATGACACCATGTTCCCTGGAAACAGTGAAATGATTTACCAATAGTATTCATAAAACAGGAGTAGGCAGATTTTTCACAGGAGCTGAATCTAGACAATGGAACTCAGTAAAGCAAGAGATCAGGACGGCTACAAATCGTTCCATGCTTGGCAGAGTGCAGAGCTCATTTCTTTGACTTAACTTTATAGCAACAAGTACCCCAGTACATAAATGCACACAGACACTGCCCTGGGGCATGTCCACACATGCAGGAACATGCACTTGTAGCAGTTCAATTAGCAGCAGCACAGATTTGTGTTGGAGATATGTGCCTTAGCACATGTGCCTGAATATACATTTTGGTGTGGGGAAAATTGTGCCACTTGGGCCAAACTGACCATGCCCAGCTCCTCCCTGATCTTCAGCCCCAGCAGTATAAAAAGTTGCCCTGGTGAGCAACTCAGGGAGCTTCTGAGGCCCAGCCTGTTCGTATCTGGGTACACTACCCCTTGTGCCAGCTAGACTGCTATAGCAGTGCTAACCTAGAATGGCCTCTGTATCCTCTATGCACTGCAGCAGTTTAGCAGTGGGGGCTGCCACCTGGCTGTGACTTGTTGCCATCTGCGACAGCATCCGCCCCCTTGGACCTGCAGCCCCATGGCTGTGTGCCTGCCAGACCCAGATGGGGACTGCACAGCCACCTAGGCTGTGGTATGGGCACTGCAGCAGAGCCTCCTACACCTCTGAACCAGCTGCTAGTGGGCCATGGCTGCGCAGTTGGCCTTTGTGCAGCACTGCTATCATGTCTTCTGGTAGCCCCACTCTACCATCGGGGAAGCTTTCGCTCGGAAGATATGCTCGTTGCGGTGGCCAATTTTGAACTGTTAAAACATGTCCTTCTGGCCCCAAATATCCAGGAGGGTCAGCCACCTCATCTGCCCTCCAGCTGGGTCCCTGGTGCTGGCCCTGGGCAGGCTCCTCTGCCTGGGTCTCCAGCAGAGATCCTAGTGTTCCCTGTTTAAAAATGGCAAATTCTCTGATAACCCCACCCCAAATTATCTCATTAAAATACCAAAAAACCATGTTCTTCTGTAATTAAAATGAAACACCACTACATATATAGAGAGATCAGTTGGGCAATGTTTTATTGATATATTTACAATTTTAAAGCAATTTGGAAGCCTGCCAGTATCACTAGCATCATCATAAAATTAATTCTAAATATTTATACACTTTGCATTTGCTTTTGGGTTTTTTTTATCATAGAAAGATCAGAGCTGCCCCTGCCCCATTCACTCACCAGGATTTAGGGTGCTGAGCAGAACTGATATCCTAGTGTCCTGCCCATGCCCTTGCCCCTCACTCTCAACCCACAGCCCCCTCCCCTCCAGTGCCCCTCACTCTTGACCTGAAGCCCCTCTCTGCCCCAACTAGCTCCCTCCCAGCAGCAGCTCTGTCCCAATACCAGGATATGAGTCCAGTTGCAACTGTCCCACTAGCTGCTTTATGGCTCTGAGCAGTGCCAGCCCTTACTCTTCAGCTCTCTGCACCTGTGCCCAAGCCCCAGCAATCCCCATGCCATTCCTGCAAAGCCTTTAACTGGGGCTCAGGGACTGGGCTGGGCAAGCCCCTTCCATTTCAGGCCAGCCTCCCCCTGCACAGGCTGCTTTAGCAGGGGCTCTAAGCTCTGGTGACTTCTCCTACCCAGAGCATATGCCCATCCCCAAAACCAATCTCTCTCTCTCACACACACACCCCTACTGCCACCTCCACCACTACCCCCAGCCCATCACACCCCTCCCAAGTGGTTTCTGGAACCAGGAGCCTCCCCAGGCTGGGCCACATGTCCTAGCACTGGTGTGGGCATGGGGCATGGCTGCAGTGTGGCAGTTGTGGGTGGGTATGCAAGTGGGAGTGGTTTGGAGTGGGGGGGGCTGGGTTGGTAGACACTATGTGGGAAGGGTGGGTCCCCCACCTGCCCCCCCCCCACTATGGCACAGAGCCCCCCCTCTGCAGCAGCAGCCAGTCAGGCTGTCAGGGCACTCGTGGCCCGCCTCTGGCAGAGACCCCTGGCAGTGCATGGTGCTGCCTGAGACCTAGGGGTTTCATATGGCACATAGTACTGGCCTGGCAGCATGCTGAGGCAGGGTGCTGGAGCACCAGAGGCATTCAGCAGCCATAAAGATGCTCTGGCCAGGTTCTAGAGCTTCTTTTTGGAGGACCAAGCCTCCAGTTGCCTCAGGGGATTCTCCAGGAGCTTGAAATGTGCTGATTTTTTTCAGGTTTGTTTTTTTTTTTTTGATACTGGGATTTCCCAGTATCAAATGTACAGTGCATGCTGCATTTTTTTGTTCCTAGCATGCCTCCTGTGGCACCTCCAACTCATGAGATGCCACAACAGGCACATGCTCGCTCATCTGGATGTGGCCCTAAAGTCTAGTCAAGCATCCAACTCTTAGCAGCTGAAAAAAAGGGGGGGAGGGGGACAATTGTTGTTTCAATATTGGAGTAGTGCTCACATATCACTGTGATGGGTCCCTGATATCAGAGAAGCAGGAGTCATCAGGTGTGTGGTGGCAGGGAGATCAAGGGGAGAAGGTCAGGAAAGGTAAAGACTAGTGAGAGGAACAGGGAGACAGCATACTTCTCAACTGTGAAGGTACACATATTGAGTTCCTAAGCGCAAAGTAGAGACATCATGTCCTGAAAAGAACGTAGCCTTTAGTAAGCCTTAATAGTATTTTTTTCTCTTTCTCCCTTAAAAATCTCTCCCCCCATTTTGCCTTTCTTGCATATCAGCACTTAACAGTGGAGTTGACCAGTTCTAGATTTTCTGCTGTAACAAGAGGTATCAGCTAGTGAAATTTTGTGATAGGTTCTTATAGCTGTAATTGTTATTTATATAAAACTGCTAGACCTGTAGCATAAATCTTTTTCTTCCCCTTTCTTACAGTTTTGATGTAGACAATGGCACATCATCGGGACGGAGTCCCTTGGATCCCATGACGAGCCCTGGGTCAGGGCTAATTCTCCAGGCAAACTTTGTCCACAGTCAACGGAGGGAGTCCTTCCTCTACCGGTCAGATAGTGACTATGACCTTTCTCCAAAGTCTATGTCCAGGAACTCCTCCATTGCCAGTGACATGTAAGTGTTTACAAAAAATGTCAGCCAATGTTTTATCTTGTGTTAACCACAAGCCCAAAGAAAATGGTTTGTTACGTAGTTGCAATCCTAAATCCCCTTCTGAACTGAAACACAACATGTACTAATACTGCTGAAGTTTATATGTACTTTGTCATGTTGTAATGTGAGGACATAGCAGAGAATACTTAATATTGTATGCACTTGCTTAATATTGTCAGTGTCATTTTAAAATAACCAAGGTAAATGTATCAAACCAACCCAGGAACTCTGATGTCTAAATTATATATTTATTTTTAGAATGCCATCTCAGTTGCTGAATATGCTACTTTTTTAGTGTTCTGTTTGTTTGTTTTTTGTTTTTTTTAAACAACTTTATGTGGCTTCTTAGCCAAAGGATATTCTTACTGGGGCTCTCAATCCTGAATTACCTGTGATAATTCACGTGCACTGGATTTGCATGTGGCCTGCAGCAAGTGGAACAAGGCACTGGAGAATTTATTCATTTTTCTCTTCTATTTAAGCAAGAACTATTTTGACAGGGTTAATCACTTGGAACATAAAATATAATAAGTTGCCATTTCCTAGAAAAATATCTATTTGATAAAGTAACATACTGGTCAGAGGGGTAAACGTTTGGAAGAAAGTACCCTCACGTTGAATTGTATTGTTTGTTTTCTTTTTCTAGCAGCCCCATCCATTCCAACGGGAAGATGTTTCTCTTCTAAAGTTCTTTTGAGGCTGACTGAAATGATTCAGCAGTTTCCAGGGGGGGAGAATTCCATCAGAGACAAGAAATCACTCCAACTTTCCCTTGGATTTAGTAGTAGAATTTTAACAATGATCTTGTCTGTCTCCTCAGTGCTTTTAACTTTTAACATCTGCTAATGGGGTAATGCTGCAAATACTTCTAGATACAAATCTGTGTTTCTCACATGAAGTGAAATATAAGACACTGAAAATACATGTAACTTTCTGGCTGCTGCTCATTTTTAAATGAAATTCATTTCATTTTTGAAAATGAAAAATGGCTAAATGATTTTTTCCAACTTTCATTGCTGAGTAAGTGTTTATGATTAAATTATAAACTTCTAAAACAGACTGTCAGGCTTGCAGAGTTTCCAAGTGAATAATGAAGTGAAACATAAAAACAACAGACCTCAATACAAATGTTAAGATTAATCTTATAAAAATTAATAAAAATCCACTGAGTCTCCTGATTTAGAAGTAACAAAACAAAATGTACAGAATCAGTCATCAGGATACGGGGTGCTATATTTCCCAGTAGCAATTGAGAATTCAAATGGTATTCCACTGCAGCAATTAGGAATTTGGGACCACTATTTGCTGCCCATGCATCAGATATTGTTTTGTCCCCCCCTACCTCCCCCACTTACTTTCCCAATAGTATTTTTTGCTACTTAGGTCATTGTGAGTGAAATATATCTATATGCATGGATCCAGCATAAACCCTATCCACAACTGAAGCCCTGCAGATTTAAACACTATGTTGGCTTTGTGCAGGGGTGAATTCTAGCCTATGTGAGCAATCTGAAACTACAAATTAGTGAGACATGACCTCTCCTGCCTTGCCTGATTGGGATGTGAAAACACATTGCATTTGCACATATAGAATGCCCAGTTGAAAAACAAAAGACTTCAATGTGTAAAGGTTTCCTCTATCTTGCTTTAGGTGCTTATATCTAAAACTGAACTATGAAAAGAGCTGCTCCTCAGCTGCATAAACTCATTAAGTGCTTCTTTTTTTGACCCAAAATTTCATTATGCACCTGCAATTCTGCCTATGGCCAGAACTTCCCCAATCTAAGCATCAGACATATAGTTCTCACCTAAATCCCACTGGGATTCAGAAACTGAGAATCCTGAGGAGCTCTGGTAGACATGTTCTCAATGTCACTAAGGCAATCCAACAACACTGAGTTCAGCACAAGGCATGGCAGTAACTGCTACTTCCATTCATAAACATGGGAAGAAGCGTAGGAGGTGGCAGAGGCTGTGATGCTCCCATCCATCAAGTGGGAGACCTGGATTCTAGGATTTCCTTAGCCCACATTACCCTTCTCCCAAGAGAGGCCATTAAGTGTCCATCCCTTGTCAAAGCTAGTCTGGATTGAGGTACCTATCCCTCCAGCTGAAGGCCACTGTACAGCCAAGACTGCAAGGAAGGAAAGGAAGCAAAGAGGGGCCTGATTCTATAGCATAGTGTTTAGGGCACTCAGCTGGGAGGGCTAGACCTGGGTTCTAGTGTCTGCTGTCAGGACTATTTCCCATTTTTGTTCAAAGACTAAGTAATATAAAATGGAGAAATTGTCCAGGGAGCAAGAACAAGAACTCAGGATTCCATCTGCCCCAGCTAGCGCTTGAATCACTGCACTACAGAGTCATTCTCCTTCTTGCTTGCTTTCATTCTGGACTGTGAGGCTAGGGACAGACATTCAAAAAGCCTGAGCCTGAATTGATTTACTGTTTGCAGGTTAGTCTAAGCTGCTCAACTTAAACTTATTAATAACTGGACAGACATTCTCTGTTAAACCAGGAAATGCAGGCATGTGCCCGCAGTAGCTCAAGCCAGAAGCCCGGGAGGTGCTAAAGCATGCCTGCCAGTCACTGCCAAAGGGGAGGAAAGAAAGATGCCCTCCAAGGCTCTCATCCCTCCCTGCTGGAGTGGAGGGGGCGTGGCTAGGCACCAGCTGGGGCTAGCAGGACACACAGGATAACAGCCATGAGCCTGGAGCAGGGGGTGTGGGGGGAAGAAGCTGCTGCCAGACTGAGCATGGGGATGGGATGGGATGGGAAAAAGTCCTTTCTCTGAAGCAAGCATGTATTGAACATAGCAATTTGCAAAGCATACAACAGGGAACTACCAAAAATCTTCACCTAAGCTAAGATACAGCCCAGATACAGTAAAACACAGCATACACAACTTAGTCTAACTTAAAATGTAAAGCAAGAAGACAAGAGAAAGCCTTACATAATCTTGAGGGCAGAGTGTCTCCTTACAGCCAGGCATTCAGGAAGGCTTTGTTTAGGTTTTACAGGTTCTGCTTTATAATGTAAATGTAGCTCTCTGCATTCTTTGGTCTGCAGCTTCCCTTAACTCTATCTCCAGCACATGTGTGATAATTGTCAGATCTTTGCCAACACTTCCCACCTCTCAGTGTGGTTCTACAGGTCTTAACTTTGGGCTCACAGGGGACTGGCTTGCCTCTCTCCTCCACTCCAGACCACTGTGGAATTAATCCCCTCCTTGGCTGCAGGCAAGCTGGACAGAGGGAGGAATTAACTCCATCTCTGCAAGGATGCAGGAAAGCCATGGAGGTCCGCAGGATTTGCCAGTAGGGGATGAAAGGGGACAGAGGGAGGAATTTGCCTCAGGGACCATGGCAGGCCAGTATCTGGCCACACCGTACCCCTGCTCTGGCTTGAGAGCAGAGGGGAGGGGCCAGTCCAGCTCTCTGGAGCACAGCATAGCCCAGAGAGCATGCTGGGATGATGGAGGTCTCTGACTTAAACCTGCAAGGGGTCTTGAACAGACATTGCATAAACTGGTTTGAGCCAAATCAGTTAAGTCTGATACTACATTCAATCAGGTTTATCTCAAACCGGTTTCAGCCATTTGCTAACTAGTTTGTGTGCACTGAATGTCCTTTCTGTTACAGGAATCCCGCCCTAATCAGAGCATCCTGTGGGGGCCTGGCCCCTCCCCCCCCCAGCTCAGCATTGTGGGATCTGTGGAATGGCAGGGAGGGCTGTTCTAGTGCCCCCCAGCTTCTAGCCTAAGTCACTGCAAGCATGTGCCTGCATTTCTGGGATATCTTTGTGGTTACAAACCAGTTTAGCCTAGGCAGTTTAGACTAACCTGCAAAGATTGCATCAATTCAGGCTCAGACTTTTTGAGTCTGTCCCTAGCTTAGAGAATTAAGTACCTCTCACTCTACCAAGTACTTTTTTCTCTCTCCCATTATTGAACTGTCCTGATACTGTAAGAGGAAGGGTGACAATAACAGAGACCTTCATGCCTTGCGATTAAGAGGGAATACCTTTCTCTTTCACAGATGGATATGCTTTTCAAGAAATCTTTGTGTCCATGTAAGAGTTAACAGTCTCATGATCCTAAAGTACATGTTCCATGCAGGAAAGAACTATGTGGCCACCTAGTGAGAGCACCAGCTTGGAGCTAGTGACCTAATTACAGGCAACCAGTTCACAATCCCCAGGCAGTTACTTTGAGGGCATGCAAGATTGGCAGCCACTGCTGCTGCTAGCACAGCCACCACTGCCACTGCCTTGGCCACTGCCATTGCTTGTTACACTGCTGTGTGGAACTCAGGAATCCGGGTTCTTTTCTGGCTGTGCCAGACCCCTGCTGGGTGAGATCAGATGCATCTCATCCATTCTCCTCAGCTGAGTTCCTTTTTAAATTAGATCTTAGATATTGGATAGAAAAACCTGTAAAAATGGAAAGACAGAGTGAAAGAAAACAGAATAGTAAAGAGAGCAAATATAGTAACATATGTAAAGATTGTTACATTTATCAGGCTTCATCCATTTTTTTACCCATACCATTGAGTGTTCACTTCAGGGCAACAGATACTTGATCATCTTAAGACCACAATTGAAGCCTAATTTTCATCCCCTTTGTCTTGTAGTATTTGCTCATTTATGTTACATTATTTGCCAATATTTTTATAAGCAATTGTATATCCAGTTGGTCTCTTTGTTACTCAAGCAAATCTCACCTTAGGCAGTTGTTAATGCTGGATTAATGTCACCTTCTACGTGGTCTTCTGGTTCTTACCATTCTTTGAATCCTAAAAAAATTAAAATGAGGGCTCTAAAGGCAAAGCAAAATCGTTAGCTTCTTTTTGTACATTAAGTATCCAGTCGTGGATTTTGGCCACCTTCAAGCAGCTTCTGCAAATTTAAACACTAGGCCAGCTTCTGTGTGATGTTAATTATAATAATTCTTGGTCTGTGTGGCT